AAAAAAAAACCCATTAAAAAAAAAAATTGTGCTCATCAAAATCAAATCCATGTTAAATTCTGGTATCATATAACAGAGAGATGTTATGGTCCTGTTAAAAAACTATTCTATTTGAGTTTGTAACCGTTAGATCAACTATTTCTGACGATTACATAATAATCTAACAGTTACAAACCCGACGAAATGATTTCATAACGGGAGCGTAACATTTCTCCATGTCATATATCTCTCACAACTCAACATGCATGATGCAACACATTGGTCACCACCATCACCCCTAATTAGAAAACGAAAAAATCGTTTATTACACAATGAGGGTTTAGTCACAATTTTCACACGTGTATGACATTATTGTGACTAAAAATTCCATGGGACAGTGTCCATAATGTAGGATGGAACTTTTCTTAGGAAAAAATAAATCAAAACACTGGAGCACACAAGTTGAGGATTAAATTGAACTCTTAATAACTTAAAAGGACATCGAAAATTTTCCAAGTAGAAGCCGAGAGGCATGTGCACCAAATTATTACATTAACACTAATGAAATTGAGATTGATTATGTTATGTTGTTGATAAGTTTACACGTCCTCATTATCACACAATACTAGCAGTGCACTAGCAATATTCAATAGCCAACAGTAACAATAAATTGGTTAAGGCTTCAATACTCCAACCTCCTAAGCAGAGCTTCCCTGAGGGCGGCCTCTCCCCTGAGGCCTTGGGGCAGGCGGACCACGACGTCCTGCATCATGAGCCCGTTGACGCAGGACATGCTGGCGTGGTGCACCGTCAGCTCGAGGTCCCTCACTGCCCCCATGAGGCGAGCTCCCGGGTGGTCCTCGTTCCCCGACTGCACCCTTATCATCCCGTCGGGCCCCACAATCTTGACCTCGACCTCAACCCTCTGCCCCGACGACGATGCCGTGCAAGTGCTCTGCGACCCTTGTCCGTCGGGGGCCTCCGCCTTGATCGTCCGTCCGTGGAGACGGGACTCGAGGTCGTCCACCCTCGTCCGAAGCTCGTTGATGTATGAGACGGCGTCCGAGAGGAGGGACGCCTTGTCCATCCTCGACACGTTGGGGACCACGGACCGCAGCGCGTAGAACCGGTGGTTCAGCTTCTCCCTCCGCTGCCTTTCCGCCTCCACGTGGTTCAGCGGGCCTTCCCTCCCCACCCCGGGCTTACGACCCCTCTTCTTCCGGACTCTGTGCTCAATAGGCTCAGCCTCGTCAACAAGGAACTGGCACTGCTCCGAATCCGACTGCTCTGACGACAAGGACTTATTCGCAAAGGAAATTATTTTCTCGCCTCCGTCGAAGGTCGTCCGGACGAGGTGGACAAGGGCCCAATTCTCAGGGATGGCAGAGTCCGAGCCGAGCTCCAGGACACCTGCTCCGCTGGGGGTGGGGATACAGACCATGGTGTGCATGCCGTGGACCTGGGCCTCACGGGCCCGGTGGCAGTTGTAGAGGCGGAGCTGGTTGGCCCCTGTGAGCCACACAAGGGAGCCGGACCCGAAGGCCCGTCCGACTATGCCTTCTCCCGGGGGGATGGACTGCGCGAGAGACATCACGTAGAACCATTCCGCGTCGGTGACGTCGGAAGCTGCTGGGGTGGGGGTTTCGGGGCCGATGAGGGCCTGGATGCCGCGCATGACCTTGCGGCGCTCGGGCTGGAGGCCAGATCCGGAGTCGGCCTTGGTGCCCTGGAAGTAGCCGTCGGCCCAGGTGAGGGAGATACGACCTGAGTCGTCTTTGGAGGACTGCCAGAGGATGGCGTAGGCCCAGCAGTCGGGCTGGGCCTGGAGGATGTACTGGAGCTTCTTCTGGGGAGGCTGTTGTGAATTGTGAGACACGGGGGTTGACGAGGAGGAATTAATTTGTGGGATATTGGTAAACTCATCCATGGAGAAGTCCGTTTTAATTTCTATCTTTTTTTTTTGTTCTTTATTTTCTTTTTTCTCTGGTGATAAAAGGGGGGAAGTGTGTGCGTGGGATTTGGGGGAGGAGAAGAGTGTTGGAGCCTGAAAGAGTGAAGGATTTCTGGAGTGGAGAGGGCACACAAAAGAGTGATTCGGAGGGCAATGTTGTCAAGTTTTTACAAGTAAGAGAAGGCATTCAATCTTGTGGTCTCTATCACAAGGACAATTATTTTTCTTTACTGCATTAAAGTTCAAGAAATGCTGGTTTCGTTACGGGACCATCTCGTCGAGTGTTTTAACCGTCTGATTATCTATCTTATACTAACTATATGTGTATCCAATGTTTAAAACACTCGACCAATAATATCGTAACATAACCGTAGCATTTGCCGTAGGTTTCACATCCACGCCCCACATTCTCGCTTTGTCTCCATGTTTTTATTTATTTATTTTTATTAAATAAATCAATCCGTATAACGATTAAAAACAAAAGGTTTATGAAGACCCATGGCCATATGTGGCAATGGTGAAAAGTATGATTATCACGTCAAGTCCTCAATAATTTCCACGCACATGAAAAGTGTTAAAAAAATTGGGCATGGCTATTGGCGTGGTAGGAGTACGACTTATTAGATTCAAAGTATTTCAAACCATATACGAAAACGAACCTTTAAGTCATCAGAACTTAAATATAACTGTTGCTTGTTTGACTTTTTCATAACGTATTTGATTTGGTATAATACCAGGACGCGTACGACCTAAAGAGCGATTTGATCGGATAAGGAGAATCGGTTGGAACGGCCCAAGTCCCACAGTTTACATGTCGTCCAGATTACTCGTTGAACAAAAAAAAAATGGACAATTTCATTATGGGTAATTTGGATTTGGCAAATTATCAGATTAACGATTGATATTAGAGTCGTGCCGAGGTGAGGTGAATCGAGTATTCCTGGTTGAGCTCTGGATCATTTAACAGATTAGTTGGGTCGACTCCAGTTTCTGAAGTATTGTTGAGCTCACCTTAATTCTTCTCGTAAACTAATGACAAAAACCCTAATTTAGACAAAACAAAACGCAAATTCGCGTTTTTTGTTTTTTTTGTGATGACCTTTGGATTGTGTAATACACCGTCTGCCTTCCAATTTTCCATGAATTCGATTTTCTAAGAGTTCTTGCACAAATTTGTATTGGTGTTTTTCGACGACATCCTAGTCTACTCGAAGAATTGGGTGGAGCACCTAGAGCAATTGCGGATTGTCTTGAAGATTTTGGCTAGTTCTTTTCATATTAAGCCATCTAAATGCTCTTTTGGTCTGGAGTCAGCGGAATACTTGAGCCATATTATATCTCAATCGGGCATGAAGGTTAACGCTCGAAAAATTGAGGCGATGTTGGATTGGCCGAAGCCGACGAGTTTGAAGCAATTGCGTGGATTTTTTGAGCTGACCGGGTACTACTAAAAATTTGTGAAAGACTACAATTCTATAACCAAACCTCTGACCGAGACGACGAAGAAAGACGTGTTCAAGTGGACCCAAGCAATCGATGCCGCATTTGACAAGATTAAGCGCATGATGACGAGTATGCTTGTACTTTCCATGTCGAAGTTTGATGTTTTCTCCGAGGTGCATACTAACGCAAGTGACATTGGTATAGGGGCGCGTACGCTCTCATAAGAATTACTATAATCATCCAATTGGAAATTTTTTCTGGGAACTTCCTACAATTAATTTTAGTGATGTCACTCGTGGGGAAACCCATACTTCGATTAATTAATTTACCAACAAATTAGAATGGAGGTCTTAAGAATTTTAAAAATTAATTTTAGTTTTAAAATCTCTTCTCAAACTTAGTATGATTTTGATTTTTAAAACTTTTCTGTAACTCAAAATTAATCCCATGATAAAACAACAATTAATTTCATGCATAACTAATTCATGCAAATAAATTAATTCTCATGCATAAAGCAATAATTAATTCTCATGCATAAACTGAAAATTAATAGGCATTATATAATTTATAAAATAAATCCACTATTAGGGCCTTTAATTAATAAGTTCCCTTAAACCAAAAGCTCGCAGAGGGTCACCGCCATGGCCACCGCTGTGGAAAACATGGCGGAGTTATTTATTTATTTATTTATTTTGCTCGCTTAGTCGCACAAGCCGCGTCGCGCGATTCACCGCCACCGTTCGAGTGCATGCCACCGCGCAGGTTTTTCGTATGCGGCCGACGCAATGTGAAATCGTGTAGGCAGCCGCGACCAGCAATGCAGCACCCATTCGCTGCCTGCCATGCCTCGCCGTCACCCGAGGATCTCGCATGCAGGCTGACATTGCGCGTAAAATGCGCGGCCTACTGCGTGGTTCTCGGCGTCGAGCTGCGTTCAGGCCGTCGGTGCCACGTCTCGCCTCCGCCATGCACGAGGACCTTCCCCCTCAGCCCTTCGTTGCTTGCAACGCCGCGCAATTGCCACTTGCGGCTTCTGGCAGCGAGCTGCCAAGCCGCGCAAGCTCCGCGGTGGTTCACCGACCATCTAGGCCCGAGGCTGGTTGCGTCGTCGAGGCTTCGTCGGTCTCATGATCTTTCGGTCATCAACACACGATCACAACACGAAAAATGTAATTTACAAAATGACATATTTCGATCCTAGACCCACGAATGGGTTACATGTTCGTCTAAACAAGTAAATAAATATATATGATGTCTCCACGGGTGAATAATTATTACAAACATTCAACCATAAAAAATTCCTCGACATGTCCGAGGTTTCAAAAACCATTCATCAACATTCAACAACATTCATCAAACACATATTCAACCATAATAGTGGATTAAACTAATTCTTGCAAAATCGAGTTATGCGAATATAATCCAGTATATGCCTGCATTTGAACACACGTTGTCAAATTAAAGCGTAAAAATTCGAACTTTGTACAAAACAAATTAACCAAGTGCTCTGATACCACTTGTTGGGATCGATAAGGATCTCGTTGAGTACAAGTTACAAATTCAATGGCAACAATAAACCTATGCGCAGTGGATCTAGAGATTAGTGTTAGAAACTTAGGACTTTAAAATTGTAGACTCTGAGTCGTTGTAGATTACCATTGTAGAAAATCGTCTTAACTCAAATCCGTTGGGCTGCCGGATTCTTCTCTTCGAACTCGAGAAGCTCGTCGGGAGCAGGTTGGGAGCAGTGTGTACGTCGCGGGGTCGCCTGGTAGATGGGATCATTACAGGACTGCAACGAACATACGGTGTCCTGTGGGTTGCGTGCGCGGGTCGTCGATCGTGCGAGAATGTCGCGCGGCTGTGTGCGGGCTGTGGTATTCTAGTACGGCTCATGTGCGGTCTTCGTCAACTTCTCGTTGGTCATTATGGGTTGTGATGTCAGGTTGGGGCTCGCGGTCGTTGGCGACGTCGAGTGGCTGGCAGTCACGGGGTTGATCGTCGGTTGATGATCACGGGTTCTCCGTCCTCGGGTTCTTCTACTGTATGTATTGAACACCTACTTCGAATTGTATCGGTAGAGCAACAAAATGAAGACAAAGCTCGACTAAGGAAACTAGAGAGAGAAATGGATGTGCGGCCAAAACGTGTGTACATGTTAGGTCTCTTATGTTCTCTCTTCTCCATCCATGGGCTTAATGATGTATTTATAGAGATACAGTAGGGATCCTAAGGATGTGATTATTTGGCTCCTTAAGTATTGGGCCTAACTGTGATCCAAGCCCACTCTTGCCAACACTTAAATAATGTCTCGGTCCACCAACGTGAACATTATTGAACTCCCTTATCATCCCCGAAATTATATTCAAGATTGCAATTATAATTAGTCGAATTACCTCCCATGTTTAAGATATAATGTCCATTAAAATTCGATTACTAATAATTATGAACTAATTAATATGTTGTTAATCGAAGCTAAAACCACTCATCAAATTATTATTATTTCAGAACTTAGTCCAACTGCAGGGTTTAACATAACAATACTTCATGAACTCACTTCCCGGACATCATCAAACGAATACATATGGTGGCCATAAATATTCTAGCAGCACATCGAACATGTGTAACTATTACCCAAAACTTCAAGTATGTCGAACAAGTAAATTGAATCTCACTTTCATTGAATCAAATTAATAGATACTACACGCACATACCTGCTTATATCTTAAGGGTTAATAGAACGCAGTAACTAACCGAGACTAAGTTTGTTTACGACGATCATTATAAAATAACCTACTACTCTCTGAGATCATGTTTAATACATAAATGTACTAGTGCAACTAATCAGTCAAGATCAACTGTACGATTGACACTACAACCGTTTTAATGGTTTGTTCATGTCCATGTAGGTTGTGGACCAATAACTCTTGTTTCGAAAGTGACTGATAAAATGATATTCTTTGATCTGTTAATGAACAATTTTATCTAAGTGCAAAAAAATAGAACATAAAACTTGTTTAATAAAACATGATTCTCATTCAACAAAGATAAAGTATAGATTCATCCAAAGTCAAGTTTTCAGTATATACACCAATAATCTTTTACCTATACTTAAAGCTTTCGCTTTTACAAGTATTGTCCTATCATTCTATTATTCTACAAGACATATGTCGATCATGTGACCATACATCTGACTCACATTCCTTACACGTGCTTTACGAAGACCTTCTTTAGAAAACGTTTTGTGAAAGGATCAACTAGGTTATCCTCTGATGCAATTTTGGCTACCTCAACATCTCCTCTTCCTACGATATCACGTACTAGGTGATACTTGTGCTCTAAGTGTTTACTTGTCATGTGGGCTCGTGGTTCCCTTGAGATTGCTACTGCACCACCATTATCACAGAAGACTGTGAGACTGGACCAACAACTATGTTCATCAATTTTTGAAAAAATGGGAGGATTATCTACCTTGGGTTGGGTTTTGGTACAATACGACTTACCATGGCTCAACGAAGTACACACCGTTCGAGCTAGTGTAAGGACGAAAGGCTACCATACTCGTTAACTATCCAATCGAAAGTCCTTGAACGATGAGGTTGACCGAGAATTGATGGAGCGAGACTTGATGATTCGTGAGTCGAATAGTAATTTGCATAGGTCTATCAACCCCATGAAGACGTATTATGATAAGGGGAGACGTGAGGAGGACTTCGAACCAGTAGTTGGTTTTATTGGAAGTTGTGACCGCTTCGACAATGCACGGTTTAGTAAAAGGCGGTGCATAAGCTCGTGAGTCGCTGCTATGGGCCTTACCAAGTGATGGAGTGCATCGACAATGTTTTTTATCGGCTCGATTTGCCAGAAAAATCCCAAATTCATCCGATCATACACGTCTCACAATTGAAGTGAAGTTTAGGCGAGGCACATAAGATGGGTACACGCCTACCGGCAACGACTTCGGATGGAAAACTTATTTTACGTCCAAGACGTCCATTGGAATATCGTCATGTGAAATAGGCTGGTCGATTCCATTGAGAAGTTCTAATCCTGTGGGACAAGTTGCTGGAAGAAGAGGCGACATCGGAAAACTTGCACGTGATGCACGAAAGATTTCAACCTTTCATCCTTGAGGACAAGGATTTGTTTGAAGGGGACATGAATGATGAGAATGAGGGTAGAAGACTGAAAAACACATAGTCGAGCTAATTTGTGCGTAAGAGAGAGCTCGTGTGGCAGCCGAGACCTGCTCGGCAAATGCCAGTCTCGTGGAGACCTCGCGAGTACCAGACGGGTCGCCCGCGCACGTCGGTGCCCCCGCGCAAGACAGGCATGCCCCGCAAGATAGCGCACGCGCCAACTGGAGACCCTTGCGAGAATACCGTGACCAGTGTGGGCAACAAGCATACCAACGTGCCTTAAGGACCAAGTAGAGAATTCTTCTAGAAGACTAAGGGTCGATTTCTTCTAAATGCTTGTAGATTATTTCTCTTATGTTTTCATTATTATTTCTAGTATGTTTAGGAGTTAATTCATTTCGTTATTCTTAGGATCCTAGTTATTTACGTTTCAGAAGTTTAAGAGTTGATTCCTATTAGGATTAGTCTTTACCTTTCTTTAAGATTCACCATTGTTATTCGTATTTTCATAATTGAAGTTTGATATAGGTGGTCGCTTGTTTAGAACATTCCAGGGGTGGGCAGGTTGGTCGAAGACCTCCTGTTTAGAACATCCTCGGGGTGGGAAAGTGTGAAGACCAAAACCCACCATGACTAAGGCCCTCGGGCTGGGTGGTCGCCTGTTTAGAACATTCCAGGGGTGGGCAGGTTGGTCGAAGACCTCCTGTTTAGAACATTCCTCGGGGTGGGCAAGTGTGAAGACCAA